GCCAGCCCTGCACCCCCTGCCCTGCCCACAGCCAGCCCCGTCTCCAGCCAGCCCTGCACCCCCTGCCCACAGCCAGCCTCTGCCGCACCCCCTGCCCTGTCTCCAGGCAACCCTTTCCGCACCCCGCTGCCGTCCTGCCCCAAGCCAGCCAGCCCCACACACCCCTGTCTCCAGCCAGCCCCGCACCCCTTGCCATGCCTGCAGCCAGACCCTACCTCCAGAGAATCCCTCCCCTGCCTCCAGCCAGCCCCATGTCCACTGGTGCCCTGCAGTTCCCAGGGCAGTAACCCTGCACACCTGCTTCAATGAGGGGGGCAGGGAGCAGCTGGGACCCACACATGTGCACACCACTAGCGTGACCAGACAGCAAGTGTGAAAAATCGGGACAGGGGGTGGGGTGTAATAGGATCCTATATAAGAAAAAGACCCCAAAATCGGGGCTGTCCCTATAAAATCAGGACATCTGGTCACCCTAGCACACCCTCAGGGAGTGGCGGGGACCCACACACGTGAAACGGAGCTCATTAATAACCGATCAACAGCATATATGATGCAATGTACATAATATATAATTTTATTATTTATACAGTTATGGAAAGTAAATAATACATGGAAGAAATGAAAGGCTTTTTTGTACATGTTTTTTTTGGGGCCCCGCCAAAAATGTTTGAATTGGGCCCCGCACTTCCTAAAGCCAGCCCTGGTTAGGAGGGCCAGGGTTGTGGGGGGGGGCAGGATTTGGGGGGCTGGGCGGGTCAGGGTTGGGGTTGTGGGGGGCTAGAGTTTTCGGGTGTCAGGCTGGGGGGCTCCCAGCTCCCGGGGCTCCCCACCAAGATTATTATGGGATGGAGCAGGGCCCCGCCCCCTTACCTGATGTCCTGGAAGGGCGACCCCCATGTCCCCTCAGCATCCTGGCAGAGGGGCCCCTTGGCCAGGCCGGTGGCAGACACAACCAGGCAGTAAAACCCCCCCAGGACGCCCCATAGCGAGCAGAACACGGAGCGCAGCATCTGTGGGGGGAAACGGGGGGTTGTGAGAGCAGAGAGCAGCCCCCCCGCTCCCCCACTGCCCCCACCTCATCCCTTACAGTCCCCACACTGCCCCCCAACTGCCCACCTGCCCCAGGAAGGAGGGTCCGTACCCGGCACCGGTTCCCGCAGCATCCGACTCCACAGCAGCCCTTCCCCCCGGCGCGGATGGCCGAGAGCCCGGGGCAGAGAACCTGAAATGGGGGTGGGGGGGGACACAGATCAAAACCAGCAGCTCCTAACCCCCCGCCCCGCCCCCCGCAATCAGTCCCACGGGCCCATCCGGTGTCAGGCAGTTCCCCAGGCCCCTCCCGAGTGGCTGTGTCACCGGTATCGGCCGATAAGGCCCCGGTATCAGCCGCCTGATATCGGCAGCGCCAGGGCAAAGGGCAAACGGGGTGTACATGGTCGAAAAAGGAAGCTAGCAGTGGGGGGAAGCGCTGGCACGGGATGCTCCCCAGCACGCACAGCCCCACCCCCAATCAATACGATTCCCTGTGGGGAAGGGACCATGTGTGAGGAGGGTGGGAATGCGCGAGAAATTGTTATGCGGCCTAAGTGTGCCTCAGTTTCCCTCTGGGCTCTGCCTTGCTGTGCCCTGAGCATCCAAGGGGGGAGCAGAGGCACCAGAAGAGACAAGGGGCAGTGAACCCCACCAAGCCACTTATCGCCAAGAGATTCCCCCATCCCCCACTGCTCTGCAGGGAAATGAGGAAAGGCCCCGAGCCGGAGGACCTAAGGCCAGGCGGCTGGGTTAAGAGGGGAGCTCTCCGGGAATGTCTACACGGCACAAGCGCTGGCTCCGGTTTGAGACCTAGCCCCCGGCGCTTCCATCCACACACAAATCTGGGGCAGCGAGCACTCCGGGCCCAGATCCTGGGGCGGGGGGTGGTGTCTCAGGAGCCTGCTGCAATCTGGATCGGACCCCAGTGGGTCCCGGCAGAGGGGTCTGGCTCGGTGGGACGCACAAGGTCGAGCATGCGGAGGGCTGGGGACAGGAGACTCGGCCGTGGAGGCGGTGAGGCTGCCTGGGCCGACCCTGAAGGAAGAATGGGACCGACCCAGCCTGGTCCCTCCAAGGGGCAGTTTAAAAGCCGGGCTGTAGTGCCGAGCCCGTGGATCCGGGACACCCCATCAGCCGGGGGGTCATTACCGGTGACAAGGACTTGCCCGACGGGTACGTGTCTGGCCAGTGATCAAGAGAACAGAGGTCGCTGGGCGGAGCTACGGACCCCGGGGTGGCCGTGCCCAGGAAGGGGCAGGTCGGGACGCTGTTAGTGGCAGCGGTGGGATACAGACCTGTAGCGGAAACCAGCCCAAGCAAAGTTTCCGCGCAAGGTATCTGGGGGTGGGGATGTCTTTGGGTCCTCGTCCAATGCGTACCCCCGTCACCGATTCACAGGGTCTGTGCCACGCCCCAGCCTTTACCCAATGTCCCAGGAGCAACTCCGAGAGCGTGCCGGACGCCCCCAGCACCTCATGTCTTCACCCGCCAGCTGGGGGCTGTCGCTTGGCCAATGCGGGGCGGGCGAAGGAGTCAAGGTTCGGTCCTCGAAGCTCCCGCTGGAGCTTCTCCGCGACTCGGCCCCGGGTCTCCCCGGGAGGGAATCCGATGAGCGTGTCTCTCCCCACGGGTCGCACGTCCCTGTCGCACACAGGGCTGCCGAACAACGCGTACCCTGGAGCAACCCCCGGCGATCACCGCATCTCCCCTTTCCCCCCACGCCCCACATGCTGGCAGCACCCGGGGGAGGGGGGCAGAGAGACCGGGTCGGCAGGGGGGACGTGCGCACGGATGGAGGGCCAGGCAGACAAAGAGGTGGGAACATGACATGCGGGGAGGGACAGACAGATGGGGGACGCAGCTCGGAGGGGCAGACAGATGGTGGGGACGTGGCTCGGAGGGACGGGCAGATGGGGGGACATGGGACAGACACGGGGACACGGCGCAGAGGGACAGACAGACGGGGGGATGCAGGACAGACGGAGGGACAAGGCGCAGAGGGAAGGGCAGATGGGGGGACATGGGACAGATGGAGGGACAAGGTGTGGAGGGACAGACAAATGGGGAGATGCGGGACAGAGGCGCACACAGACGGGGGGACAAGGCACGGAGGGACGGGCAGATGCGGGAGACATGGGACAGATGAAGGGATGCGCCTCGGAGGGACAGACAGATGGGGAGATGCGGGACAGAGGGACAGATGGGGACAAGGCGCGGAGGGACGGGCAGATGGGGGGACATGGGACAGACGGAGGGACAGGGCGCAGAGGGATGGGGAGATGCGGGACAGATGGGGGGGAATGTGGCTCGGAGGGACAGACAGACGGGGAGATGCGGAACAGAGGGACAGATGAGGGGGATGCAGGACAGATGGGGAGACACAGGACAGAGGCGCACACAGATGGGGGGACGTGGCTCGGAGGGACGGACAGACAGGGGGATGTGGAACAGAGGGACAGATGGGGGGACGCGGAACAGAGGGACAGACAGACAGGGGGATGCGGGACAGAGGCGCACACAGATGGCGGGACAAGGTGCGGAGGGACACGTGGCCAGGTGTGCGCAGGGATAGCCAGTTGGACAGACGGGGGGACCCAGCGGCCTGGACAGACAGAAAGCCCTGAGATGGGCGGGAGCTGGGTGGGACAGGAGGACAGACACACGAAGCTGAGGCCCGGCGGGGGGAGTGGGGCGGGAGGTCGTTCTGGCTCAGGGTCCCCTCCCCCCGTGCTGCTCCACTCACCATGAGCCCCCCGCCGACCAGGCCCCCCATCAGCCAGACCTGCAGGGTGAGGTGCTCGGTCCAGCCCGTCTCCCCGTTGGGGAACATCAGCAGGACGTTGGCCACGATGCAGCCCAGCGCCATGGGCACCAGCGCCAGCCCCACGAGCCGCGAGCAGCGCCCCGTGCACATGGCTCGGGAAGGGGCGGGACGTCACTGCCTGGAGCCGGGGGGAGATCGGGGCACCCGCTGCCCGGAGCCGGAGGATTTGGGGGGGCCGCTGCCCGGAGCCGGAGGATTCCCAGTCGCGTCTCCCTGGCCTGGGCTGTTTGCTCTGCGATAAGCCGGGCAAAGGGCTGGGGCGGATGAAACGTCACCACCCCCCCGGTGCCAGGGGGAGAGTCGTGGCTCGGCCTTGAAGTGTGTGTGTGTGGGGAAGCTGGTGTTGGCCCGGCGTGGGGCGGGTGGGGGGTGATGTCAGTGCCGGGTGGTGGGGGGGCAGGCCGGGGGAGGGGACCCGAGTGGGACAGTAATGAGGCGCAGGCTCCATTAGCCGGGGTGGGTTTATTAGTCTCCCCTCCCCTCGCCGTCCCCCCCCCTCATTTGCGCCGGCGGCCGCTGCGGTTCTGCCGCTTCTCCTTTCGGCGAGCGCGGCCGGGCCCGGCTCCTGACGGGTGGGGCTGGGGGCAGGGGGCGGGGCTGGCCCCGGGAGCTGCCGTACCCCCCCCGCGCCCCCTTGTACAGCAGGTGGAAGATGAAGGCGTTGGAGTACCTGGGGGGAGGGGAGGATACAGGGGTCAGAGGTCATGGTAACAGTAGGCAACAGGGGTCGGGGGTCATGTGTGGGTGAGGGTCAGGGAGAGTCAAAATAGAGTGGTGAGGGTCAATAGGTCAGAGGTCATGTTATGGGGGTTAAAGGTCAAGGAGAGGGGCTGAGGTCACAGGTCATTGCAATGGGCACAGTGACGCTGGGGTCAGAGGTCACAAGAACGGGAGACAATGTCATGGGGTCGGAGGTCACACAGGTGGTGGATGACCTGGGTCAAAGGACATTCTGTCAAGGCCGAGGGAAGGGTCACTGGTGTTGGGGGGGTCAGAGGTCATTCTAATGAGAACATGGGGTCAGAGGTCATTCTAACGCATTACGCCCCCCCGCCATACTACTGGGGTCAGAGGTCATTCAAATTCAGAATGAAGCATGGGTGAGAGGTCAATTGATGAGGCAGCCCAGGGGTCAGAGTTCAGCCGAATGGAGATAATTTTGGAGGGGGGTCAGATTAACGGGGGGGGGGTGCGGGTCATAGGTCACTTGTGACGTACAAGGGGTCATAGCGCAACCAGGGTCAGAGGTCAGGTTAATAATGACTGAGGGGGTCAGAGGTCACATCAAGGGTGGGGGTCAGAGGTCACCCTACAGCCACCACTGGGGTCAGAGGTCATTTTAGCATCCGCCCCCTTCCCTCCCGATGCCCGCCACCCCCCGGCACCCACCAGGGCATGGCGTTGTCGATGCCAGCCTGACGGAAGGGCGAGCGGAAGGGGTTGACGTGGGCCGGTCCGGCGCTGCCCCCCGTCGCCATGGAGACCGTGGCCTCGTCCACCGCGCAGCTGTACTCGCTGCACTCCGTGAAGTAGGCCGGGACCCGGAGTGCCTGCGGAGGAGACGGAGACACGGGGAGCCAGGCGTCCGGGGACCCAGGCGTCCGGGGATGGAGCTGCCGGGGAGGGGACCCGGGCATTTCGGGGCCAGAGTCGCCAGGGACCACCAGAGGGCCGGGAGGTTGGGGGTTCAGAGGGGCGGTTGGGGGGGTTGGGGGCACAGGGGGGCCGGGGTGCAGTGGGGGAGGGAGGGTTTGGGGGGACCTGGGGGGGCCAGGGGCTCCCACCTGCAGCCGGGGCAGGGCGCTGAGCCACGTGTCCTTCAGTGCAAAGCCGGAATTGAACCCTGAGAAATAACAGGGGGGGCCTCAGGGGTCTGCCACAAACGGGGAGACCCCCCGGGGGAACCCCCCTCCTCCCTCGGGGAACCCCATCCCCTCACTGTCAGCCTTCCTCCACCCCAGCCTGTGCCACCCCCATGCATTGGGGTTTCCCGGGTGTCCCCCCTAGAAAGCCCCCTCTCCCCTCCCTGCCACACAGCCCCCCCAGGGCCCCCAGATTGGGCCCCTCCCCCCCAACAGCCCCCCAGGGTCCCCCTCCCTGGCCTGAG